ACATACATACATACATACATACATACATACATACATATAGAGATGCATATGTATGTAAAACTGTATGTATATATGTATATTGTAGCTATGCATCATAATTTCCCATCAATTTCTTCCCATACAGTCTATTATGGATTCTAGTAATTGTGCTCATGTGAATAATATTTAGCCATTCTGAGAAGTGATGGTTTTTTTGTGCACCTTTGCAAAATTGCAATTTGTGGAGGATGGCAGGAGAGTATGCCTGCTTGATGATGTCCTGCACGAATCCGCGCAAGAGTCGGAAGTAAAGGGAAATAAACAACCAGATAATGAACCCATCAAGGGATTCTTCAAACCAGCTTTTTGGAGGCTAGCTGAGGGCGATCTTGGTAGCCAAGAACACACTTTCCTGGGCGCGATATGGCAATTTTCTGCTCCCACCTCTGCTCCGATTGGCTCGTTTGGGTGGTATCCGACCTCAATAAGGAGTAAAGTGACCTCTTTTGGGTCATTTCGCGCCAAATGCTTTCTTACCTTCTTTGGCCAGGCTTTTCCCAGAAGGGGCATACGTTTAAAGGGATTTGAACAGAATCAACTTTAGACTGACGAAAACCCCTCAGGGAACCTTGACTATGGTGGAGCTATCCGGCAGTTTGCTTGGCACTTCAGAGTCCGAATGTCTGAACACATCAAAGAAGGGCTTTCCGATTTTGAACGAATTCCAAAGCCGTGGAATAATCTTTAAATCATGGACAAAAAGGGATTTATCTAGTTTGGTTTATTCCCAAATTGATTGAAATTCCCCAAAGTCCAACTTCAACTATCGGGTGGTTCGGGTAGGCATAATTTTGTTGCTGGGACTTTTTATTCTCTTCCGCGCCATGACAATGAATGCTGTACAGGTGTGGTTCTTGCGAAAAATGCAGCTTCTATGCCTTCTGTCACATACGACTCCAATCGTTGCCTCGGTTATGCGTGAATAGTTTCATCACTTGAAGACTGTGACGGGTCGTTTATGGCTTTTCGGTGTTGAAATTCTCTGATATCCTCTTCTTTCGGGAAGAGCCACCAGCCCCAGCAATCTGTCCTCAGACCTCGGCGGAGCAGGATTGTGTCTCTAGGAGAGGTGGGAGCCTTTTTTTTATCACACAAGGGTGACATGCTGTGTTTTCTAGTGTTTTTTTTCCTTCCCACGTGAGTTTGTAAGCGTGCCATTTTCGTTGTGCCTCCCAAAAAGCGTTCGCCCCAATTGGAACCGGTCCTAACCCGCCGGTCGATTGAGGCACTCTCTTGTTGGAGCCGCTTGTTGCCGCGCGAGTCTTTCGGCTGAACGAAACTAACTCGTTTCCGTTTGCCCCCCTCACTTGGCTTATTCGGCAGCATACTTGGCGGTTTATTACTTTCACTCAACTCCCCAGTCCTGCGGTGTGCAGGGCTATTTCGCCGTTTCCCCCTCGTTTTCCACAGATCCATCATTTGAAGTCGACACGGGGCGTTGAAGCGTCATTCCAGAAGGGGCGGATTTTGATTTAGTCACCATTTTACGAAAGGGTCTTGAAGCCCCAAGTCCGCAAGAATACACTCGTTTGTGGCGGCCTAGGCCTATTTGATGCCGACTTGACTAGGATTCACAAAGCCATGTGCATACACGCAAACACACGTCATTGGGACGGCTCCCCTCATGCCTGTTAAGCATCTCCAAGGCTCTCAACTATGCACTTCGGAATACGCACTCTCAAATACGTGCACACTTTCATGGAGAAATGGAGAAATAAAAACTAGTCAAATATCTTCCTTCAGAGAGGCTGGATTTATGCAAAAGTGCATGGATGCCGGCAAGATACACTTTTAACTTTTTGTCAGTGTCACCTTTTTTAGAGTGTAGAAGCCTGCTTTGAATATGTCCGTCATGTGGCAGTCGACGGTCGAGGAATGTTGCTTCACTTAGAATTTGACAAATCTTCGGCTGAACATGCCGTCCCTAAAGCTTGCCGATGCTCGCAATTGAGCTTCCACTGCCTCCTGACAGGACAGACTCGCGACTTCCTTCAGCTGAAATTCCTCATCGGATGAATACGACCGGCAAGACACTGACGACTTGGCGTCACATTGGCGCGTAGAACTGACGGACAGGCCTACTGAGGCATGTTTTCGAGTGTCGGGTACAGAAAAGTTGACCTCGACTGAAGCCTAAAATTGAAAAGGACTAAACATTTCAAAGCGATCCGACTGGGCTTTGGCAGAAGATTTTCACTGCCGACTTTCGAGTGAATGTTGAAATGAATAATAGTCAGTAGTAGCGTGAGTTGCATTAAACCCTTGAAGCAAAGTCACTGTTATGCCGATCGCCAAGTCTATTTGACGCTATCAATAATGCATGAGGTAAAATTAAACTTCAATTTACTACAAACATTTTGTGTATGAAAAAAATGCATATTTATGCGGCGCCATTTAGGCAGTTCGGAAAAGGCTAGGCGAAATCTACCCACTGGCTTTCGTGACCAACCATGTGGATAAAATTTAATAAAGGGGAAAATGTAGCGCCCTCCTTAGGCAGATGCTCCTCCTAGAAGACGCTGAAGCGAACTTTCAATATGGCATTCTTTTTGTGATCGAGCAAGTTGAGTCTAACGGAAATTGCTTTAAATTTCACGCAACAATAACAAAATTTCTTTGAAGAAAAAATTATTCAGAAATATTTAGCCAGCATGAGTGGGCCGATTCTCTGAAAATGTGAAAAAATCATGATGACTATTATGGAAGTATCTCTATGATTATATGTTTTTTACTGTCTTCAGTTAACAGCTGTACTTAATTTTATGCAGAGATGCACAAAAATGATAAAAATAGAAATAACATGTGCGATTCAAGGACTCGTATCAGCCTACTTGCAGGCATAATTTCCTTTATTTTTGTGCAGAAGAAAAATAAATAATCAACCTTTAGACTGGGGACATAATCTAACTCGACATACTGCTGCTCGAAGAGGGCAGTGCTCAAGGGTATCGGCAATGCCTACGTAGGACAGTGTCCCATGTGTGACTAGGCGTATGGACACGAGAT